TGAAGCAGAATAGAATTGGCAACTTGTAGAAGAATATTATTAAAGAATGTTAAATTCATTTCCTGTTGTAGAATAACTTATAATTAATTTGTAAGAGTTTGAAATTAATAAAAATTTAAGTTTAAAAAAAAGGTAACATCACCCAACTATGAATTGATCAATGACCAGGCTAAAGCTCAGTTCATTATGCATAGACCTTCCCCTTCTACCCTGGGAACCTCTACTCAATGTCTCATAGATTCTAAGTAACTAACTACCAGTTAGCATAGACAAACAGGTTAACTCTTTTATACACCAGGGAGAGAACTTGCAGATACTCCAACAAGGGGCTTACCAGTCCTCTGATTCCTTCAGTGGAATAGCCTTTCATTTGATAAGAGAGCAGCCAATAATAAGCCCTGCCCACTTCCTGAAAAGCTCAGTGGGTACCAAGGAAAGTACCAGCAGTGGGGAACTTCCAGCGGACGTTGATTAGAACACTCGCACCAGACACTGTCTCTGCGTTGTTGCAAACTAGAAGAATTTAAAACGCCTACCATAAATAATAATATAACTCCTAATCTTGAAGGCTGAGATGGGATGACCCAAGGGTCAAAAAAAAGAAAACACGGGGGCGTGGCGGCAGAGCGCTGCTGCATAGACGCCTAAATCCAATGCTCCATTTCCACCCCACCCGACTACCCATGCAAATGACTTAAATCACAAAATAAACAACCACCGCACCAACAATTAATTCGAAGAAGCACTCCGGACTTTGTGGTGCTTATCAGGGTGAGTGGAAAAGCTTTTAAAAAGCCGATTTTCTAAGCCCCGTTATACGAGCGAACGCATTTCAAAATGGCCGCCGACAATAAAAATAAAAAGAAAGACCCACAGGAAGAGCCTGTAATGTTGAAAATGCTCCAAACAACCTTAAAAAACTCTTTCCAAACCTTTGAAAACTCGGTTTTGGACTGTTGGATCCCCAGGCATTCGAAATAACTCCACGTTTGATTCAAAGCAAGGTTTATTTCAAAGCGATGGTTCAGACAGGAACAAGGACATTGTTAGGAATAACTACCAATACACAGGTACAGCATAATAAAGGGATTTGAACCATGTTGGGCCAATGAGGCCAGTTCCCGCTGGCGGGAATAGAACTCGTAAACGCACGCCTATTCCATGGGAACGTAACAGTTCAGTACCATCAACACAGGTTCAGTTCACAGGGTAGATAACCATAACAAGCTGAGCGAAGCACCGACTCCCACCACCAGCTGCATGACCTTGGCCAGTTCCGCAAAATACAGAGAAGCATAATGAAGCTACAGAAACCCAAGGGGGGGGGGGCGGGCCAAGACATCTGAAGGGGGGGGGGAAGAGCACAAGACATGTGAAGCAGGTAACATCAGATACAATGGCAGCTAGCTGACACTCTGGAGCCATCCTTCCCAAGCTAAGGCAAAAATGTGCTGTGAGTTGGAGGCTAGAAGACTGTGAGCTAACTCAGCTTAGAGGGAACACTGGTTGCAAGTACTCCCCCCCCCCGCAACTGTTTCAGTCAGGTCTGCAAACATCAATTTTAGCCACAAATGTGTGGTTTTAAGCATTCAGTATTCGGAAGCACGACCACCAAGCATAATGCCAGGGCTTCATTTTAATATACTCGGTAATGCTGTCCCCCTGGAAACAAAGGTGCTCACTTCATTGGATACGAGAGCTCCAGAGTGGGGGGGATATACTTGCTACTTCTGTCCCCTGCAAACAAAGGAACTCACTTCATTTTGGGGGGGAGGGACATAAGCCAGGTAACAGAAGTGCATCTGGCCAATTAATGTGTAGTGGCCACCCGGCTGACAAATCGTTTTGCAGAATCAGTGGCAGGAAATAGTGACCGTGACGGGAGACAGATTGCATTCTGGAATGAAGAAGGACATCGGGACACCATTATCTTCAGGTCCTTATCAGCTCCGTCCTAGCGTTCTTGTGTTTTGAAGAGAAAGTCCAGCTATGAAATCCAGCGGCAAGTCTTCTGGGGTGAGAGGTGTATCAGGAAGAGATGTCTTCACAGAACACAGGTGTGTGCTTTGCAGTTAAATCTTATCTAATCTAAGTACAACAGCTTTTGCTGGCTATTGGGATTTTGCTGGGGGGGGGAGTTTCGTATGTTGATGTGGGCAATCAGGTGCCATATTGTACAGACATAGATCTTAAACTTTCCATATATTTTGGAGTCCTTTAAATGAAGACAGTATTAACCACCTGGTGTTGGAAGTAGTAGGTTTTCATAAGGTTCCCTCTTATTGTCAGACAGCAATGTGTGTTTAATAAATGCTTCTAAAGGGGATACCCACCTAGGGGTTTTCATATTATATTTATCTTTCAAATCTTACCAACATTTTACAAATGCGCTTCTTAAGCAATGCTGCTAAAAATTGGATTGTATGTGTTCGTTTTCTTCAAAATATAAGCATGTCGACCCATACTGAGATCATGACCTTCCAAATGTACTTGTCTTCTATCTTCTACTCTGTTGTGAGTATATTTGTGACCTATGCTTTGTCCTCAAATTTCACAGATGGAGGTGCTGACAAAGACAGAGCTACAGGCGTTGAAGGTGCTGGTGGGCTGATGGCATGCGCTCATCCCCTGATCCCCTGCTTGCACTCCAACCGGTGGATCATGCACCTCAGCATGCACATGGAGAGCATTTTTATGGCTGCCTATTCAGAAAATTTACCTCCTCTAAACTGTAATTTGATTGACCAGGAAGACATGCTAAGCTGAAGCTGAGAAATGATTTCAGTGCATGCAAATGCACCAATGGTGATGGTGGTGCTCTTTACAGGCCACATGCACACTGGTAATCGTGTCTGAAGGTTTGCATTCTAACCTCAACTCAAAGCACTGTTTAATTTGCAATAAATTATCTTCACATGTTGGTTGTTTGGTTTCTTGAAATTCACAGCGAGAGGGCGTACAACTCTCGTTGTAGCAGTTATGCATGACTGATTCCCTTATGCATTTGATCTTATAAAACAAAAGGGAAGGGGACACGTGTGCATGAGCATAAATATGGGACTGCCAATCCAGGTCAATAGACAGCCTCCCGTGAGGTCGGTCTGGGGGAGAAGGCGCTGAGAGAATTACTGCTCTGGAGAGAACAGTGACTGACCCAAGGACACCCAGCTGGATGCCTGTGGAGGAGTGGTCAATCAAATCTCTGTTCTCTCTGATTAGAGTATACACCCCTAAACACCACAGCAGGCTGGCCCAATGTAGGTGATCTCTCCTCTGTTTGTCAAACTCTTTGGGGTTGGGGGGGCATCATCTCCCTGATTTTCTAGCATTGTGCATGGGGTTGGACTAGGTGAACCAGGAGCTCCCCCCTAACTCTATGGTTATAACTCAGGGTTCCCCTGAGTTGAGTTTTATCAATGGAGATTGAACAGCTTGCTTTGTGAACTGTTTTTACTCAACCACCATTCTGGGGGGCTGGGGGCCGTGTGGGTGTGGGTCCAGTTCTTCATTAACCAAAGACAGCAGTGTAAGCTCACTACAATGTCTTATAAACCATTATAACCATCCTACTGACAAAGTGCTGTCTGGAAAAAAGAGTTGCTGCCAGCTAGAAATCTCAGCCCCCCCCCCTCGCACTGACCACTCACTCTCACCAGCATGGCATCTCCTGGCCATCCGTCTTGAAATGGCCTCATAATACCTCCTGTTCTCTAGGTGTGTGCTGGCCATTAATTCCTGGACTGCCCCAGGTGCTGCCCCTTCCACTCCTTACCTGTCAACTCTTACCTAGCCATGTCTCTCCTCCTCCGTGTTCCCCTAACAACCCTGTGATGTAGTCAGCTCCATTGTGCTAAATTGCCCCCTTGAGGCTCCCCTAACAAAAATTTTCTTAACCCTTTCCCCCCCAACCTTCAGGAACATGTGATAAACTCTCGCGCTTTTCTTTTCTTTGTCCCCGTGCCGTTTTCTTTCCTCCCTTTTGCTGCTTCATTGAATGAGGAAGACTACGGTATCGCAAAAGCAACTATTTATTTCAGCTTTACAGTAATTTTACAAACCAGGAAATGTGTCCTGTTAAGCGGGAGTAGGGAGCTATAGAATTACTTGAAGGAACATGAAGGCGATCTGTGCTCTGCTGCCCTTTAAAGTAGCATAATCAGTAAATCGAGTTTGCGCTGTAACATCACTCCACACACCAAGTGCGAAATTTTCCCACCAGTCCTTGCTTCTTGGAAAAACCCAGTAGCGTTTTTTAAAACGCAAACCTTGCAAGTGCATGCCACCTATGTCTCCTGCAGCGGGAGGAATGAGCGTGGGTGGTCAGTGCATGCTTTGTCATTAAGGGTGATGAAGAGCAGGGACCGCGGAAAAGGCACCTTCGTCTTTCGGATCGCTTGGTAAAAACGGTGGAATCCATACACAGCAATATCGCTCAAGCAATGAGCTGACAACAGCTAGCGCTCTCTCCCGATGGTCCTCCATCATGGCCAAAAGTATCAGGAATGAGAGGTTCAAAATGGAGAATCCCCAGACCTTTTAAAAAAATTCCTGGCTCAAAGAACAAAGATTACCAATCAGAAAGCTGAAGATGTGCCACATGATGTCTGCTCATTCCCATTGTTGTGTAATAACAATGTAACGTGATTGAACATGCGTCAGAACAAAGATTACCAAGGAGGGAGGATGGGAGGATAGGAGGGGTTTGGAGGGTGAGGGGCGGGAGTGGGAGGAGATTGATTGCAGGAAAGGCTGTAATGTGAAAATGAAACCCCCGGAGCGGACCCGAGGCAGACTGGCTGGAAATGCTTTAAATGTGAAATTGAGAAAAATGATCAGGGGCAGAAAAATCTGACGAAAACCAAAGGTAAGTGCCAAGTGAGAAATCGGCCCCTGTGAAATCAACAGGAATTTAAACATAAGCAACTTTGCCTAGAGTATGCTCACTTTTATTTGCTTTTTAAAAACTCATTCTCTACTTATATAAATCAGAAACAGAGTACCTTGTATATATGCTGAGATCATCTTCTGAAGGAGATTCGGAGAGATTGATTCCATATCCATCTTTTATGCATTGCACTACATTCTGAATGAAAACAAAATATTTCATTATATCCTGTCATTTCTACCTCACCCCTCCAAACCTCAAAGTGGCTTCCAAGAGAATGTAACAGCAAAACAACAAGATGACTAATTAAAAACTGTGTTTAATAAATACAATACACTCAACACCAGCAGTAATACAGGTTCACTGTGCCTACTCAGTAGCCATGTGCCTTTTAGAAGTTCTTGGTTTAACTGTTTTTCCAGAATAATCAATTGCTATTGCATGATCTATCTTAATAAAGCTCTTCCACTAACAGTGAATATTACAATTAGTAAGATATTTCTTAAGTTCTCTTGCTATTACTGACACAATGAATTCATGCCTAAATTGCACATCTTGCCTACAGAGTAGTTTATAAGCTTTTCATTCTCAAATTAATCCATATACAATGAATAAAGTAGGCTACTCCCTACAAAAGCTTGGGCTACAGTAAAAGCTTTGTCATCTGGCTCTTGTGGAGAATGGGGGTTGCTGGTTAATCATAACTGCTGGATGCTCAAGCTCATGACTCTTCCCCAGCCCATACCCGGAGGAATCCACAGCAACCAAGCCCCACTCTGTTGGGAATGCTATGGCAAGAGTCCCAAGACCTTGCAGGAACCTTCCGCTTCTCACCAGTCATGGAGTCATCCTGTGCAGCAAGCAGGCAAGCAGGCCAGCTGCCTAGGAATCTTCTGACAAAGATACAGCTTAAGGCAAGCTGAAGAGGAAGGAGGCACCTGAAGATAACTGCCAGCAGTGCCAGCTGTCAGAAGCCCAACAATGGTCAGAGGCATCCAGTTGGCCAGTTGTAGAGGTAGAGTTGGGTATGACTGAAGAGGCTCAGATATGGTGGCTGAGGGGGAGAAACTTGCCCTCTGGGTGATGCTGGTTAACTGAGTGTTCTGGATAATCAAATACAGGATAACAAAGCCTTTACTGTATAAACAAGTTAGACACTGAGAAGCCAGGACACCTTCTGTTCTTCTGCTACAAAATACCTTTAAAAAACCATTAAAAATTTTTTAGAAATACAGTGTCAAACAAATAACCATAAACACAACAAATTTGAGACTACATAGATGTCATTCAAGTACAAGAAATTTTTCTGCTAACAGTACAGCAATCTAATACAGTAAAGCTGCAAGTTCCACAAAAGTCATTGTCACATCAGGAGTAGTTGAAGAGTTCATTAAATTTCTTTGGTATGGACTATAGCAAAGGCGATGTTAAAAAAATAGATTACATGGGATTGAATTCTATTGCCAATGTAAATTATGACAGCCACAAGCAATTATCTTACAATTACAAGGGGTTTCAAACTTCAGAATATTTTAACAAAATTAACACCAGTATTTATTTATTTATTATTTGGATTTATATCCTGCCCTCCCCACAAGCAAGCTCACAGTGAGGGTTCCAACAATATAAATTATATATAATATGGTTAAAACCACTTAAAACAACAGTATAAAATAGCACAAAAAAGCAAAAATCCCATGCAAATTCTGATTGCATGTCTTAGTGATTAAGATGGAATTAAGAATCCAGGCCACTGACAGGGGGCTAGCTAGAGGGAGGGGAGTCCACTGCCTCAACCAAAAGCCTGTCTTACAGGCCCTGTGGAATTGTAATGAATCCCGCAGGGCCCTGATTTCATATGGGAGCTCATTCTACGAGGTGGGGGCCAGGGCTGAAAATACCCTGGCCCTGGTCGAGGTGAGCTGGACGTCCCGGGGCCCGGGGACTACCAAAATATGTTGATTAGTAGACCTCAGTGCTCTACGGGGCTCATATGGGGAGAGGCAGTCCCAAAGGTATGCTGGCCCCTGACCGTATAGGGCTTTAAAGGTAAGCACTAGTACCTTGAAACAGATCCAGTATTCAATAGGCAACCAGTGCAGCACTGGGTGGATGTCAGCCCGCACATGTGTCACTGTCAACACCTGTGCTGCTGCATTCTGCACTAGTTGCAACTTCTGGAGCAGAGTCAAGGGCAGCCCCACATAGAGAGAGTTACAATAATCCAGTCTGGAAGTGACCAATGAATGGGTCACTGTAGCCAGGTCTTGGGGGGTTAGATATGGGGCCAACTGCCTGATGTGCCTCAGATGGAAAAAGGCAGATCGACCATTGGTTACACACCGTGAAGGGTCCTTCTCCTCTGAGGCTTGGAGGACATCTTGTGGGTGATTCCCATCCATCACTTAGGGAGGCAGGACTAATTTCAATTACTTCCTGTTTCCTGTAGTGGGAGTCACCCTTGGCTCAGTTCTGGTGCTCCAAAAGCAAAACACTAACTTAACCACTGTAAAAAAGAGAACTTGAACATCAACAACAAGAGTATAGCCAAATCACAAACATTGGAACAGGAAGAAAAAGGTGAGTCCTCTCTCTCATGTAATCTTATTATTATTTTTAAATAGAGTGTGAAAGAACAGCATAGTAGATCGAGGAAATGATGTCCCAGGAGGGCCAAGATGTCCTCCAAGCCTCAGAGGAGAAGGACCCTTCACGGTGAGTAACCAATGGTTGTCCTCCCTCTGAGGTGGATGACACCTTGTGGGACCTCCCAGAGCAGTGTCCCTAATTTTTGGGAGGGTGGTCATCATCAAGAGTTAGAACAGACTGCAGCACTCTCCATCCAAATGCTGCATCAGCAGAGTCATACATATTTTGTAATGCCTGATGAATGTGGATAACAGAGACCATGTAGCAGTCCTACAGACTTCCTCTACCGATGCCCTGTTGGCAAAGGCCATATTCATTGCTGCACTGCGAAGAGAGTGGGCCGTGATACCAGCAGACACTCGTTTCATACTCCTGTAGGCTACAGTAATGCAGGGCCTCATAGTGTTGCTTATGGCAGAGTTAGACATCTTTCTCCCTGTGTGAAGAGGAAAATGTTAACAAACATATCTTCTGTCCATCTGAAACAGGCCATTCTGAGAATATAGCATTTGAGCGCTCTCCTCACATCCAGTGTATGCCAAACTTTTTTCCTCCATATGGGTTGAATTTGGAGAAAATGATGGCAAACAAATCTCTTGTGATCTGTGAAACTTAGTATTGACCTTTGGCCACAAAAGGTGGAATCTGTTCTCAGAACTACCTTGTCTTTGTGAAAAACACAGCTCCAACTGAATTGACAGGGTGCCTAGTTCTGAAATCCTCCTGGCTGAAGTAATGGCCAGCAGGAACAAAGTTTGCATCCTCGGGAATTTGAGCAGAATGGCTACATCAGCTGAAAGGGTTCCTTCGTAAGAGCTGTGAGAACAGTATTAAGCTTCCAAGTTGTAAACCTATGTCTCTGTGGAGAATCCTTGAATAATGCCCCTCTGAGGAAACGGCGAATGTGAGAGTGCTGAGGGATGTTAAGACAATTGTACTGTGACAGGACCAAAGTCAGGGCCACCATCTGTTTCTTGGTTTACTGCCCTGAGACCGCTTACCAGACTGTCCTTGTAGGAACTCCAGTAGTGATCTAATTTCTGGATGCAATGGGTCAGCCTTCTTCCACTGAGCCCATCAGACAAAGGCCTTCCAAGTAGTATTGTAGATCCCTGAGGTTGCCGGCCTTCTAGAGGCCATGATCATATTGATGACTAGCGCTTTGTAGCCTAGTTTTGATAGCTTGTCCCTTTCAATCTCCATGCGGGTAAGCAGAACCACCCTGGCCTGGGATGCCAAACTGAACCGTGAAGCAGCATGTCTTCTGAGACAGGAATGGCTAGAGGAGGAGTCACCACCATCTCCTGTAGTGACGTGAACCAAGGATGACGATGCCAGTATGGTGCCATTACTACGATCTCTGCCCTTAGATCTTGTATCCTCCAGAGAAGCTTGGGAAGTACAGGAAGAGGAGGAAACATATAGAGGAGCCCCTTGGGCCAAGGGAAATGAAGGGCATCCGTGGCCTCCGCCTGGGGATGAAAATATCTGATGTAAAATCTGTCCAGTTGGTTGTTGAGCAAAGAGCGAATAGGTTTACTGTGGAATTCCCAGTGTTGCCACTCTGAGCCAGAAAAAACAAACTCTCTTGTGTAGGGACCATTCGCCCTCCTGGACTGTCTGGCTGTTCAGCCAATCTGCTTGGGTGTTGATGACTCCCTTCACATACTCTGCCCTGATCAATGTCAGATTGGATTCTGCCCAATTCGATAACTGAGTTGCTTCCCTGTGTAAGGCTAAGGACCTGGAACCCCCATTTGTTGAGGTAAGCCTTCGCTGAGATGTTGTCCATCCAAACAAGGATTGGTTTCCCCCTGATCTGAGGGGCGAAGTGTTGAAGGGCCCGCCTAATGGCTTGAAGCTCCAGGAGACTGAACAGCAGTTTCCTTTCTGCTATGGACCATCTGTCCTACACTGGTTGATGGAGTAAGGTGCCCCCCCCCAGTCTGATAGACTGGTGTCAGAGAAAATTTTGGATCCGGGCCTGGATCCAAAGGGACTTGCCTTGA